GTCACCTTTTTTTTCAGCACTATATTATAAAAACGTGCCAGAGGTGGAAAAATTTATCAACCTTCCAAGCCTTTTCATGTATATATACACACACATACACACAAATGCTTCAGAATAAGAAAACGTCAACTTTTCACGGACAACAACATGCAGGCAACAGTCACACCTCTCAAGGAGGTTACCAAGAGCTTCATCACTGCCTGGGCAGATGTGGGCTGGCCCAGGGAAAGGGGGCTCAGCATGAAGTCGTGAGCAGTTGACAATCTTTATCAAGTGTATGTGTGTGTGCACGTGTGCGCGTGAGAGAGAGAGAGAGGAATTTTTTTTTTTTTGGCTAGGTTGCTCTGGATTCTGTCAAAATGACATTCACGCTTCTCATGGACTCCACCAACACTCCAGAAGAGATGAGAGCAAAATGCAATAAAATCAAATCCAGGTCCACATGGCAGCCCTTCCCATAGATGGTTTTGTTTTTCAAGATCATGAAAATGGCACAGGCTAGGAATTCCCAAGCCCAGAACCAAAATCTAGCATACTTGATATTAAAAAGCTTGCTATAAAATGAATTTTAATTTCTACTCTTCCTTCTCATCTCTTCTACCTTCCCATCCCTTCCTTTCCTCTTTCTGTTTCCTCTCTTCTTTCTCCTTCTTATTTCCAGGAAAGGAAGGAATTTTGGGGTTTGCTCGATCAGATAGCTGTGAAAGTTCTGCTTTGGTGCTGTTACTATGGTTTGACTGTTTTGGAAACCTAATCCCCAAATTCATATGTTGATTGGACATGAGGCCTTCTGGAGGAAATTAGGTTTAGATAAGATCATGAGGGTGTGGGGTCCCCAAAATGGGATGGGTGGCTTTATAAGAGGAAGAAAGACCCTAGCTGACCTGCACATTCTTGCTGTCACCACGTGATGCCCTCCACTGTGTTATGATGCAGTGAGAAGTCCCTTAAACTTCCCAGCCTCCAGAACCAGAGTAAATAATTCTTCTTTAAAAATCACCCAGTCTAAGGTATTCTGTCATAGGAACAGAAAACAGACTGAGATGGCTGTTATTTTAAGAAATAAAACTGGCATATATTCCCCTCAAAGTACTTCTAAAATGCAGATGTCCACCATTTTAAAATGCAGATGCATTTCTAAAATGCAAAATGCCACCAAAGGGCATTGCATGTAGGTGCATATGCACAAACATAGACATCACCATTGCTAAATAGCAGGTACCATGGAGAACAGAGCAATGAACTATTTCCTCATATGGAAAGAAAATACCTAATAAAACCCAAGTAAAGAGCCCAAAATAGCTCCACTTTATTTTTGAGCACTCTTATGCGGAGCCATTTAGCCAGGGCCAGGAATAATTGGTGCCAGGTGCCTTGTAGAGATGCCAGGTTCATGGATTTCTCACTCTCTTTATGGGAGGATGACTTAATAACACATCTTTGTTTGCTGAATGTTTGAATCTTATTTCTGAGATTATACCCAAAGATGGCAGCCCTCCTCTGCATGAGTGAATCACATTGAAAATAGGAAAAAGAGTCCAGAAATCAATGCCTGTCTCAGCTGAAACATAATTATAAGTTCACTGTGCTTCGAGGTAATACTTTATTATAATGAATATCAGGGCTGGGTGCAGTGACTCATGCCTGTAATCCCAGCACTTTGGGAGGCCGATGTGGGCAGATCATGAGGTCAGGAGTTTGAGACCAGCCTGGCCAACATAGTGAAACCCTGTCTCTACTAAAAATACAAAAAATTAACTGGGTGTGGTGGTGGGTGCCTGTAATTCCAGCTGCTTGGGAGGCTGAGGCAGGAGAATCGCTTGAATCCCGGAGGCAGAGGTCGCAGTGAGCCGAGATTGCACCATTGCACTCCAGTCTGGTGACAGTGCGAGACTCCATCTCAAAAAAAAAAAAAAAAAAAATACATGTGTGTGTGTGTGTGTGTGTGTGTGTGTGTGTGTGTGTATCAGAGCTACATTATTAGTTTGGTGGCTAAGTCATAATTGTAAAACTCTGTTTTCCAATAAATCCTTCCCTTGAAACTAAATATATAAAAGAGAGAAGGTGCGGCGCTGCTCTGGTTATATTGGGGATTGGGGGTCCAAGGCATTGCCCATTTAGCTTCTTCCTTGGCTCCCACTTAAGTCACTATTCCCCCTCCCCACAAGCTCCCCATGGAGCTCCTCTAACAGAGCATGAAGAGTACTGACTGTTATGCTGGTTATTAGTGAATACATAGTACCCATTACTACAGAGGGGGAACTGAGGCCTGGAAAATGAAGTGTGATGCCAAACTGTTGGAGCTGGTGCTGCCGCTGGGACCTGCCACCTCCTGTAGAGCACTAAGTGTCATACTCTGTGACCCTTAGCAAGGCAGCCATTGTTGGGACAGCAGTGCACCCTGCTCCCCAACAGGAAGCAAACATTTAAACTAGTTTGACTTCGAATGTAAAGCCATGGAGTGAAATAATCTACTTAGCAGAGCCCTTCAAGACGTTCTCCTTTTCCAGTCGATTCAGTATTTTAAGTTTGGAAAACAAAAATATTCTGTAACAGGAGCTCTGGTTTGCTTCATAAGCCTGTGCTAGTAATAGGAGAACTTGGATAGCCAGGCATCCTACTGTCTTGCTCCTCCACACCCCTTCTTCCTCACCTTGGCCAGGTGCCGCCTAGCCTGGTGGAATGGTGGGCAAGTACTGCAAGAACATGCTCCAAGCCACTGGGTGGTGGAGCCTGCCGGCCCCGGCCCCTCCACAGGAAGCTGGCAGACAGGCATTTCATCTCAGAGACAGGACAGTGAAGTCGACAGATTCGTGTGTGTGTGTGTGCGCGCATGCCCTTGCTTAAATAGCATGATTTTCCTCTCTAATTAAAAAAAAAAGAAATTTATAAGGAAAATTTATACCACATGATAAGCATAAAGAAAACGTCACTACATAGAGAAGCATTTTTTTGTTTTTTGATTGGGAGTCTCGTTCTGTCGCCCAGGCTGAAGTGCAGTGGCATGATCTCAGCTCACTGCAAGCTCCGCCTCCTGGGTTCATGCCATTCTGCTGCCTCAGCCTCCCTAGTAGCTGGAACTACATGTGCCCGCCACCACACCTGGCTAATTTTTTGTATTTTTAGTAGGAGACAGGGTTTCACCGTGTTAACCAGGATGGTCTTGATCTCCTGACCTTGTGATCTGCCCGCCTTGGCCTCCCAAAATGCTGGGATTACAGGCAAGAAGCATTTTAAAAGACATATCCTTAGATTATTTCTTTCCTTTTCTCCCTCCTCTGTCTTTATTTTTCTCTCTTCCTATTTTTTTGCTATTTCATTTCACCAAAATGAGATCATACTGCTTATGATCCCCTTTTATTTACTTCATGTATTGTGAACACATTTTTGTGATAAATACATAATAATGTATAATTATTATTGGTTTAGAAGTATTCCTTTGTGCTATAACTCATTCAAGTACATTTCTACTTTTTAACATTTGTTTTTTTCTGCCTTTATAAATAACACTTCTGTTACTAGTTTGAGTCATAAATCATTGCATATTTCTCTAGGAGGAATTCCTGGAGGTGGAATTGGTAGATATATAAGAAGAACTGTAGAGATTGTGAATAACCAGAACTATGGAACTGACTCTTCTGTCCTTAAACATTTGCTAATTACCGCACCCGACCAGCCCAACCCATACAGGCAGTTGATGGCAGCTTCGGCAATCGATGCCCTCTCCATTTATCAAAGAGATAAACTGAGTCATCAAATAGGAAATTCATTATTTTAAAGAGTTCATCTAAAATGGGGTCAGAGAGAGAATGTGACAAAGTAGAAAAAGCAGACCCCTCAGAGGAGAAGGGGAAGGGGCATGGGTGAAATAGAAATTCTCCAACTGCTCAGGCTTCCCTTTATCCATCCTTCCCTCGAAGTCTTGTGCATCTGCCCTGATTCCAGGCCTCCTCAGCAGATGGTGGCCTGGGGAGGTGACAAAGTTCCGGCTAGTGTGATCACAGGATGGGTCTCCATTACTTCTTAGCTGATCCATGTTAAACTCAAGTTGACTGTGGTCAGACTTAGTTTTCCACTGAGATTTAATTAACAATTTTTCTGGGCTGTGTTCCCTGGGGCATATTTAGAGTCATACTCAATGGCTAACTTTTTGGGGAGTTTTCAGCTCTACCAACTTCTTTCCACTTGGACATAGCACATAGCCACAGTAATATGTAGGGAGACTGGTGCATGAGGAGCCAGCATGTAACTCTGAATAGAAGGTCTTTCTATGTACAGGGATTTGGGGAGCAAAGGCCTCCTTTCTCCTTCTCAAGGTTGGGGGGTGTGGCGGTTTCAAGAGGTGGGCTCTGTCGGTGTTGGTAGACAGGGCCACCTTAACCTCCCTCAAAGGGGCAGTGGAGCAGGCTAATGAGTATCCTCTGTGAGCTTGAGAGGTGCACATGCATTCACTTAAAGCAAGGTGGGACCCTGCCAATTTGTCCGGATTCACTGCCAGCTGGCAGTAAGATTAAATCCTCCCTGAGGAGAACCAGAGAGAGCGGAAGGTGTGGCCTGGGGTTCTGGCCTGACCAGCAAGCAGGAGCTTTCATGTATGGAGAGGCCGTGCTTTAGCATCGATGGGCCGAGATGGGCCCCGTCTCTCGCAATTACCTTCGTGGTTTTCTGCCAGAGGTTGTAATTTTTTTCCAAGGGAAAACTTCCCATTTGTTTTTTGTATTTTTAAAGCTTGTGTGTGCGTGTTTGCTCTTTGTGCTAAGGGTACGTGTTCAGCAGAAGGAACTGGCAGGAGCATGAGCTCCCTCTCTCACTTTGCATGCTTGACCCTGAGACCTTGTGTTCTCCTGAAGCCTCTGCCATGCAATTTCTTCCATCTTCTTCCTGTCTGATGATTTCCCCTGGACTATCCCATGGGCATTTTTATGTCAATAGATTGGAATGTTTCTCTTTTCACTGGGAAAAGCTCCTTTGGTCTCAGTGAACTCAGAGGTGGAGAAAGTCATAAGAATCAGGGAGCCTGCCCCAAATCACTTCCTATTATAATTTTCCACAAAGACTGGAGGGGAGGCTTAGAACATCTTCCTGCAGTGTCCAGCAAGAGAGTGAGGCAGGCTCCCTTTCTCCTGCCAAAGCCACGTGGAGCCAGACAGAACCACAAGCATACCTGTGGTGCTTGGAGGCCCAAGTAGAAACTTGAATGCTCACGGCTGCATTGGCAGCTTCTACTTGCCTGCCTGGATCACTGTTCCTCATGAGAACCTGGAAAAGCAGGACTATCATGCTTGCTTGACAGACGAAGAAACCAAGCCTCAGGTAGGTAGTCAGTTTCCTGAAGTAACATATTATAGTGGATGGCAGGGTGGATGTGACAGTCAGCCTTGTTTGACTTTGAACTGAGTGGCATTATAAAGATGCACTGGTCACATGGGAGAGCTGACTATCCTGAGGACCCTGAAACATCTAGGCCTAGCCAATCCTTAAGGCAGTTCATACCCAAAGTAGGATAGTTGGTGATCTGATTTTAGGTGGCACCAGGAAACTCCAACACTACCCAAGTGAGGTTCTACAATTTAGTGCCATTCTTTGGTTAATGAATTGTCTGCAATTACAATGAAAATATCTTTGTGTATATAATCATTTAAGCAGTCATTTCCATCTAAGTGTGAATTAATTTGTTGTCTTATTCAGTGTAACAGCTAGCTGAGACTTGATTTTATTTTCCTTCGTGCATTTATTTTTACAATTGGTATGCATTTAATGAGCATCTGAGGACAAGATACTATGTGAGTTCAAGGAGGAGTAAGACATGCACTCTGCCGTAAATGAGCTTACAGGTTAAAAGGGAACTGAAATCACCATAAAGCAGCATACAGTAAGTGACATGAGAACAGCACAAATAGAAACAATCAATTGAGAGCAGGAACTGAGGTGTTTAGGGAACCAACATGTGGGATGAGTCTTTGTGAAGGGTGGTCATGATTTCAACTAGAACCCGTAGTGTTACAGAGGGCAGGCAGAGAAGGGAGAGTAAGGCATTGCCAGAGGGAAGGCAAGAAGTAAAGGCATGGGGTGAGAAACTGACATGTTTGTTTGGGGTATTCACATGGTTCCCTTTAACTTAAGTATAGGGTATGTGGAGGGGAGTAACAGGAGATAAAGATAAAAGGTGTTTTGAGGCCTATTTTTAGAAGACTGTCAGTGCCAGGATAAGGCGTATCGTGTCTTACCTGGTCAGCAGTGGGAGCCTTTGAAAGTATGTGAACAGTAAAGCACCATGACTCCAACTGTGTGCTAGGAATGATGGGTCAGAGTTTCCTGGAGAATGTTTATTTCAGGCTGAAATAATCAAGGCCTGAGTTTAAACAGTAGTGGTAAGAACTGCCAGGAGGGAATGGTTCAGGAGATAGCCTGATATTGTGATATAATACAAAAAGATATCCTTGGTCTTCAGCCCTGGCTCTAGTTCCTTACACAGAGCTCTTAAAACCTTTGGAATTCCCTGAATGATGAGATGAGAGGAATGTGTTTTTTATTCATAATCCCCTTTCAACCATGCCTGAGTGGATGCTAGTGAGATGGCTGGGGGTTGGGGGACCCTGGATAGCTCTGGTTGGGGGCTGGTTCCCAGGAAGACCCAGGCAGGATAGAAGAGTTGGAACTTTCAACCCCACTTTCACCCCTCAACCTCTGAAGAAAGAAGAAGAGATACAGATTGAGTCAATCAACTGTGGCCAATGAGTTAATCAGTCATGCCTATGTAATGAAACCTCCATAAAATCCCCAAACAATGGGATTTGAAGGGCTTCTTGGTCAGCAAACACATGGAGGTGTGAAGAGGGCACAGAAGCTCCGTGTTCTCACCCCCATCCCTGGCCCTATGCATCTTTTCCATTTGGTGCTTCCTGAGTTTTAGCTTTTATAATAAATAATCAATGGGAAGTAAACTGGTTTTCTGAGTTCTGTGAGCTGTTCTAGCAAACCATCAAAACTGAGGAAGGGGTTGTGGGAACCTCTGACTTTATGACTGGTTTATCAGAAGTATGGGTGACTGGGACTTGTGATTGGTGTCTGAAGTGGGACAGTCATGTGGGACTGAGGCCGTAATCTAGGGTCTGAACTAACTCTGGGTACCTAGTGTCAGAATGGAATTTAATAATTGGACACCCAGTTGGTGTCTGGAAAGCTGGAGAACTGGTTGTGGGCGTGGAAAAAAACTTACGTATTTTGGTGTCAGGGTGTTGTGAGTAGAAACAAGTAATGACAACAGATGGGCTCTTTTTTTTGTTTTGTTTTTAATTTTGCATCTCTTTGTTTTTTTCCTTCTACATTTTTTCTCTTTAAGCTTTATTTTTGATATACAATAATTGTAAATATTTATGGGGTACAGTGTGATTTTTTTTACGTGTATACAATGTGCAATGATCAAATCAGCACAATTGGGATATCCACCACTTCAAATATTTACTGTTTCTTTTGGTGAGAACATTCCAAATCTTCTTTTCTAGCTGTTTAAAAATATACAGTAAATTATTGTTAACTATAACCACCCTATTATACTACTGAACACTAGATTATATTCCTTCTATAATGTCTAAGTGTGTTTTCATTCCCATTCCCCCTCCTCACTACCCTCTGAGCCTCTGATAACCATCATTCTATTTGCTATCTCCATGTGATTCATTTATTTAGACTCCATATATAAGTGAGAACATGTGACATTTGTCTTTCTGTGCTTGGCTTATTTTACTTAACACAGTGTCCTCCAGTTCCATCCATGTTGCTGCAAATGGCAGGATTTTGTTATTTTTTTACAGCTAAATAGTATTCCATTGTGTATATATACGAGATTTTCTTTATCTATTCATCCTTTGATGGACACTTCAGTTGATTCCATATCTTGGCTATTGTGAAGAGTGCTGTGGTAAACATGGGAGTGCAGATATTTCTTCAAAATATCTGACTTCCTTTCCTTTGGCTTTATACACAGTAGTGGATTGCTGGATCTTATAGTAGTTATATTCTTATTTTTTTGAGGGAATGCTATACTGTTTTCTGTAATGACTGTATTAATTTACATTTCCACCAACAGTATATAAAAATTCTCCTTTCCCCATGTCCTCACCATCATTGGTTTATTTTTTTGTCTTTTTGATAATAGTCATTTTAACTGGAGTGAGATGATAGCAGATGGGCTCTTGTTTAAGAGTAGTTGTGGTATATAAGGGAGAGGGAGATGTTAAAGATGGCCAAGTGTCAAGTCTGGGTAAGTTGAAGGTGTGGAAGATTAAGAGGAAGCCCAGGAGAAAGAACTGCTGAGGGTGGGAATAGGAGGTATGCCAATTTAGACATGTTGACTGGAGGTAGCCGCTGGCCTGCAGGCACAGCAGGGCCTCATGTGGGGAGAGCGTTCAGTGAGCATGAGAGGGTGCTGATGGGAGAATCAAGGAGAGACCCATGGTCACAGGGAGGCAAAAGGACTCCAAATCTGTCTCATTCAAAAACATTTTCCTGTGTGCGGCCACTATTCTAAATCCTGAGATTCATATGAACAAGGATGAGTCGCTCTTCTCATGGAGCTTTCCTTCTTATACAGCAATTGATAGGACCCAAGTCCTATGCAGAGCCCTAAAGTGTAGCTTTCCTTTTTGTCATTCTCAGTGTGGAAACATTCAGCATCCACTCCATCACAACCTGAAGGAAGGGCTTCCAGCTCCTCAAGCAATCCTGGCCCCTTCCCTGTCAATCCCCTGACACCTGGCCACCTATACACCACCACCCACCCCCGCTCAGGAGTTTCTACTATTCTGACTTCTATCATCATAGATTTGTTCTGTCTGGTCTTCAACTTTCATATGAATGTAATCACACATTTTGGGGAACTTCATTTGTTCAATATTGTGTGGTTGAGTAGAGTTGTAGCTTCTTTTTTATATTCCTTTTTTTGGGATTATTATTCCACTGAAAATACCCCACCTTCTATTTGTTGATTCTACTACTTGATGAAGATTTGGGTTGTTTTCAGTTTTGGACTATTATGAATAAATCTGTTACGAACATTTGCATCTGTGATATTTAAAAGACAAATGCATTCATATCTCTTTGGTGTTTACCAGGGAGAGAATTCCTGGGATTTTTTTTTTCAACTATTTCCCAAGTACCTACTTTGTACCAGGTCCTCTGCTGGGTACTTGGTATTGAATATGAATAAAACAAATATGGTCTCTGTTCTCATTGATTTTACAAACCAGGTGGGGAATCTGACATAAAAAAACAGTTACATCAACTGATAGCAGGAGTGAGTACTCAGAAAAAAAGGGGGATGTAAGATACACTTTTAACTTTCCCAGTACTTAAAGCACAGCATGCAACTGCCAGGGAGAACCACACTCAGCTTGAGCAACGGCACACTCCCTGGAGATGTGTGATTAATACCCAACTGTTCTGGTAGCCCTTAGGGCACAGGAGACCGGGGATAGGGTGAGTTTTGTGTGGAGATTGGGAGGAGGGAAGTGAGGAGATCAGCTTGAACTGCGAAAGGGCCTGGTAGGCCCAATCCTCAGGTGTATTCCTTGGTCTGGCATGGATTTCTGCCCTTGATCTCTGGCTCTGGAGGTGACTGGGATAATTGAGGCCTTATGCCCCACTCCCTGAAGACTGGTTTTGGCACATATGCAACCTGCATTTTAATATTATTCCTTATGACTGGAAGCATTTGGAAGGAGTCCTTGCCCCTGGTTTTAAAAGGTGGCATTATTTTATGAACATTTAGACATTGATTAATAAAATTCCGAACCCATTAACTAATGGGGAAATGCCAAACTTTTTTGCGTATCCAAGAAAGTAAATGTAATAAAAACTATCCCAAAAGGTAAGTTAAATTATAGTCTTTGCTTTTTCTCTCCTGATAGTCCCACCAGATGTTTTTCAAATGCAGGACACAGGCCCTTTTTTCTGTTTTCTCCAGGGAAAGAAGACAGAAAGCTTGGCTCAGCTATACTAACTTTCAGAAGGAGAAAAAAGCACCATGTTAGGACAAGTCCTGTTGGGAATCACCGTGCTGCTGGTTCATGAATCTGAAGGCAAGGGAACTAGACCTTCGTCAATTTCCAACCCCTTTTTCCTACTGACCCCCACCCACTCTTCCCAGATCACCACTGGGAATTTACCTCTGATTTTGATTGCTGGGAACAGAGCTTGTGAAGACCCTGTAAGCCCTGGGAGGTTGAAAGGTGGCCATTTGGTTTCTTCTCTGTGGAGAGGGGCAGGGGCTCCCTGCCCAGGCAAGGCCTCCATTTGAGGACTCCCCTCTCAGG